CGATAATTTTCGCGTAAGAAATCCAACGTCAACAGAAAATTCAAACGATTTTAATGATGGACAAATATCTTTAGTGAAAATACTTGAAAGTTCAGGAAAAATTTTTGCTGTTGAAAAAATATATAATAAGAAACCATATTCCGTATATGCGATAAATATAGTCATCCAAAAATGACATTAATCATAAAAAGAATAAGTATATATACACACAACGAAGTTTAGATATATCAATAGGTTGCTCTGGAGAATCTTCTTCCATTGCATCTCTTTCATCATTTTCATTTTCTTCAGCTTCGTCCAGAGTGGCATCGCTTGCGTCAAATATAATCTTTCCATCAGTATCAATCGACAAATGATTTAACAACAGTCCTTGAGCACCTCCTTCATCAAAATCAGCCGAAGTCTTTTTAAATAGAGGATCAATAGAAAATTCCAAATCAAATTTCTTTACTGTCAACTGGAAATAATCTTTAACTAAAGTTGCAGCGCTGGTTGTTGAGGCCTAAAGATAATATATATTTATATTTATATTTAATCGATTAAAGTAGAATAAAAAAAATTTAGTAATGTCCGACTTACCTTCTTACGAGCGGGTCGCTCAGAATCAGCATTATCATCATCACCATCGGATAGGTTATTTTCATTATTTTCTACATAATTATATATCAACAATAATAATAATTAGAGATATTAATCACGATATTCATGAGATGATATATAAATTTGACAATAAAAAAATAAAAATAAATAAAAAAAGGGATAAACTAACTTGAGCTATCAGCTAAACCACTCAATAATTTTCCGGTTTCAGTGGCAACAGAATCAACACGTGATGTATAGATCTTTACACATCCATCCAGAGTGCAAGAGGCCTTTTGAAAATTTATTGAATCACCTTCTTTCAATAAACTCATTTCATGAAAATAATCGATTAGGGCAAGTTTCCAACTATTGTTAGCGTTAATTTTCTAAAATATTCGATGAAATACAGCATCATTTTTATTCACAAAGTTTAATGAAATTACAGGTTAAAAAATAAGGAAAAATTGATACATTATCGGTAGCCATTTTCATCCATTCTTCGAAATTCAAATACATTTGTTCGACAGGTATCTGTGGTATAGGGGTGACGGCCTCTATTGACAGGGTACCTACACGTTGAGGAGTAGACATTCGACTGCCGGGAGCATGTTGAGTTTCAGAACCCGAAGCCACCGCAGATGGAGAAGCAAATAGTAAGGATCTCCGTACGGAATCTACTAAAGATTTTCTTCGATGACGTTTTTCTGATGCATCGTCATTTAAAGGGACAGTAAATTCTCTCTGATTTTTTAGGGGTGAGCCAACTGAGTGACGTCGCCTTGGCGTTTCTGGCATCAGTGAATTTAATATGTTAAAAAAAACGGCGAGAAATGTAAATCAGTGTTTCTATTTTTTTTATTCAAGAGTATTTGGCGCGTTATCATCTTACGCGTTTGATCACGAGATTGAACTGGCCAATCATATTGGTCAAATTGCTGGTCAAAATTGCGCAACTGTGGCGCATATTGCCTAAACTACGAATCAGATTTCAAGATCAGGTGTAACGTAACACGAGTTCGCCAGGGCGACCACCAAATATACGGGCATATGATAAAACGCCACAGCCACTGCATAATTTCTTAGAAAATTGTTGAATCTTATAGCTCCTGCATGCA